AAAAAAAATTCTCATTGAATAATTTAAATTAAATATCAATAAAATTTTCATATTATACTAATTAATAAAGAATATACTTATGTGAAAAATTTAGAATAAAATATATTTTTTCTAGATCATTGACTAAAAATATTGCGTTCTTTTGTATTTAGGATTAGAAGGATAAATATAGAAGGTTTTCAAAACTTATTCGGATCACTACTCTACATATATATGTCATAAGTAATATTTCATGAGAATATTTATATACTATAAGTATGCATCTATTTGACAATGAAAAGACTAGTCTATTTATTTAAACTATGGCGGAAATACTCAAGCATTTTTTTCCCGAGAAAATAACGCCTCTATTTTTATGTTGATTTCTATTTGACCTTCAAACAACTTCAATAAACCTATTTTGATTAAGACAAAAAAAGAACAGTTTTTTTTTTTTAGAGCAAATATTATTCATAATAATGTTAAATATTTGTTTACTCGATTTTTTTAATGATAGACAATCGAATATGATTCTATGAAAATAACATATTGAATCTCATAAAAAATACCTGATTTTTCAATAAAAACAAGCAAAAAAAAAATGTCATGTTCTGTTTATATGTTTTACAATGTAGATAAAAACATAATCAATAATGTTCTCTATCAAACACGATAGTTTTTTTCTACAATAATTATTATGACTACAAATATCATTAGAAATTGATTTTTGTTCTGCTTTTTTCGTAATAAGTTTTTAGAAGACTTACTATTGAAAAACTTGGAATTGATATTCTTATTTTATTATTCTATGATTGATGTGATTTTATACTTTCTACAATCAAAAACATATGTTACCATTATTAATAATATTCATCTTGATAAGAAAATTTTTATTTAAAAAGTTTGATAAAATTCCTTTTTTTTTTCTTTTTGTAATACAAACTTTGTCAATTATATACATACATATCTAAAGAATAGAAATATGAATGAAATTCGAAATTTTAATAGTTAGAAGATACTGTAACAACAACAATCTATACTAAAAAAAAAAAAACATCAATAATACAAAGACAAATTAGAAAAGTTTTCCAAAATTGATTTTGTAATCGATATATAAAAATTATTGATCAAAGTGACATACAATACTATTAAGTGAATACTATTTTTTTGTTTACAACATAACTCAAGATCAGTAAATCAATTAATGAAACCTTTTAGACGTACCTATACAAAAAAAAAAAAGACTTATTGAAATAGCCTACATTCCTATTTCATTACTTTTTTTCTTAAAATCATAAACTTATTCATTGAGATTTAATCTATTGACGTTATTTTACTAATCTATACGAATGGTTTTATAACATGGTGTGAGGATTTACGATCTAAAAGAAGCACGATTGAATTCTTTTTACTGTAAGTTTACCCATATATATCTTATCTTTATGATTTAATTATATGAAGAGAACGGTAAGCAAATGAATCGATTATTATCAAAGCAATGATCATGACGAACAACGAGAATTGTAAGCATATAGAAACTAATAAGAATAATAAAAGACAAAGAAAACGAAGTGTATTTGATCTTGAACAAATTCATGAATTGGAAAATGTTTTTGATAAAGTAACACATTATCCAGATTTATCTCTTCGTCAACATCTTACTCTTATAACTAAACTTCCTGATAAAAAAATTCAAGTTTGTTTCTTTTTTCTTTTCTTTTGTTTATTTCGAATATTCTTATTTCATTTTTTTTTAATAAGATTTGGTTTCAAAATCGTCGTGCTAAATGGCGTAAACAACATCAATTAGTACATTTTGGTGGTTTACATGAATTAACAGTTGATGAACATCATAGATTTGTTCCAGCACCGAAACCAAATTTTGTTTTACCATCACCATCAATAACAATACCCGATGTAAATTTTATCTAGATTTTTATTTTCAATATTTTATTATTAAATATTTAGAATACATCAATACAACAATTTGAACAATTTTTTTATTGGGCATATCAAACAGCTTTAGCAAAATCTAATGGAAATCTTCAACAACCATTTCTTATGAAAAGGTAAATAAATAATGTGAAGATTGTTTTGATTTTTTTTTCATGTTCGACTATATACAAGTGATACACATATTAAATAAAAGTATTTATGTAAATATATATTTTTCTATAGGAATGATTCGATTTTTTCTTCACAATTTACTAATGAATTTATTTCTTATACAAATAATAACAATTGATTGTGAAGAAAGACACCTTGACAAATACATCCAGATGAAAAATACAACAAGAAAAAAAAACTGAAACTTACCATAAACATACTTTTCGAAATTTATTTTTCAAATAAAGAAATATTTTAATTCACAGCAATCTTATTGAATTATGTGTTTTTTTTTTATATATTTTACTTTATATTATTGAAAAAAAGAAATGTTCATTTAACATCTTTGTCCTTTTTTTTTGTTTTTCTTCTTGTATTTATTTCTCTGTACTTTTTTAATTTGTTCGATATCTAAGATAAATATTAACAAGTGTAGAAACAAATGTATTCAATGCCATAATCCAAATAATTAATGGAAATTGAAAAAATGCAAAATTAAATAATGGTATTGCATCCTGTCCTCGATTTTTTATTGTTAAGATAATCATAATTAAAACAGTTCCAATATTGAGTATCATTCGAATAGAATTTAATAATTTTTTTTGTTGTGCTTCACTACTATTTCGTACATCTTTAAGACGTTCAACAAGTGAATTACGTAGACGTTCTTTACGAGTATAAGCAGCAAATTGATCTTGTTGAGAAAGTGTTCTTAATTCAGCTGTTACACATTTTAATTCATGAGTGATTTCATCAATTTTTGTAGATGGAGAATAAAATTTTTTCGAAAACCATGTACATATCAATGGTGTAGATGCACGAAGACATATTATCAAACTAGTAAATAGAAATAATGGCCAATTGACTGGTGGTATTGATAATGTATCTAACGACATTTATATTAAAAAAAATCTATAAAACAAACATTGATTATAATTGATTCATTGAAAATTCAGCATTGTTTTCTTTTTGTTTTTTGTTCAATTTTTATTTTCTTTAGATGAACGAAATACAATATATGTCTTTTATACAGAAAACTTCTATCAAATAATTAAACAAAAAGATATTTTTTTTTTGCGTTTGATTTTAATTTTCATCCAAAAAAAAAAAAATTCTCAATAATTAAAATGAAAAATCATAAAATATGTTAATCTCTTGACATTAATAGACATTTATATATATATATATCTATTGTTCATCTATCGATATAAATAAAATGGAATAGAAGACAACAAAAATGCAAAAGAATTGTAAAATATTGTCTGTGTATGTGTGTTTTTTTTTATTTGAAATCTTCTACACTGAACATACCCTACAAAACAAAAAAAAGAAAATCAGAATTTTGTTTTTCTTCAAAAAACAAAAAAAAAACTTACACGTGCTCGTCGTAAAATAGAATCTTTATTAGCATCATATGGATGTTCTTTACTTGGAATTTCTAATATTGCAGGTAGAGTTTTATCATGACCATCAACCGTTCCACGAATCATTTCAGCAATCTTTGAAAAACAAAAAAATTTGTAATTTTTTAAATCAAACATAAATAATTTATCTTACATATTGACTAATAAGAATAATGCCAATATCATCACGAGCAAGAAAACTTTTAAATGTTTCATCAATATCCGATAATTTTGTATCTATTTATATGAATTAAAAATTCAAATAAGAATCAAATTTTTGTTTTTTTTTTTTTGTGTTCAAAACAAACTTTTATCAACAATTAAAAAATTTGGTTTACGTGTTTTAGGATGTAATTCACCAATACCACCAAGTAAAAAACCAGTTACTGTATCCTTTTTTTTTAAACAAAACAAAACAAAAAATAAAATAAAATTACAACATGAAAACTAACTTCATCACCAATAACAGCCATTATTTTACTCTTTCCACCAAAAAGTGATTGACCTCCAGTACCACCAGTACTAGGAACAGTGTTACTTGTCATAATAGTATCAACAAAAGAAATATAAAATCTTAAAAATCAAAAAAAAAATATATATTTAGTTGATGATAAATTTATCAATATTTTTCATAGAAATCCTAAACAATGTGTTTATCATAGATTCTATTTATAATAGTAAAGAGTTCTTGTTTTCTTTATCATAAGTAAAGTGTATCAAAATATACAATAATAAAATCCTATGAAAAATTATGTATAATAAAAAAAGAAACATAATATGAATAAAAATCATACTTTTTTCATTGAATAAATAATATACTTATTGATAATAAAAAGTATGATAAGCGAACGGCATTTTTTTGTTTTTTTTCTCATATAGTCAAAGAAAAACTCAATGAATAGAAAACATAAGTAAAGTATTCTAAAAACAATAGAATAAATTATATTTACTATTTGTTTTCATATAAATTTCGGTACAAAGTATTATTTTTATTCAAAAAAAAAAAATTATTATGCTTTAGTATTGTATATCACTAACAGTAGATGTTTTATATATTTTACTTTTGTTGGATAATAGAATTACCATTAGAAATATTGAAGATAATTATTAATAACCGATAGTTAGACTTTTGCCACGTATATATAAATGGAAAATTTTTAGTTTTGTTTTTGTATTTTTTATATATGAGAAGGAGGATTCAATGAAATATTCTAACATTGGTAAGAAATCTTAACCAATAGAAATAATTGTCAATCAATTTTTGATTCATTGTTCTCATGTTTTCTGTTGTTTTTTGTTATTGATACTAAATTGTAAGCTTCATCTATTTTTTACGTATTTATATATTTATATATCATATTATTAATTTGATTATAATTTCAATCTTCGATATTATCTTATATACAAATTGATGTCTATAATATATTAATTAACTGTGACGGTATATTATGTTGCAGTAGAACTTGACTTCATTTTTTGTTTGTTTGTTTGTCTTGATTATGTTAGATATAAATGTATCGTGCATTATTAAAACTTCATATTCATCTTAAAGTAAATTATTTGTTTACTTTTTGTTTTTGTTTATAAGATCTTTTCTTTTTTTTTTTTTGTCTTTATTTAGAATCGTGTACTTGATTTATCATATTCATATGGATTTTTTGTTGCTGATCATTCACTTTATGTTATTCTAATTTGTTTTGGTATATTTCTTCTTAGTTTGTAAGATATAAACTATTATATTATTATTATTAATATAAATAATTTTTTTTGTTTTATATAGATTTCAAATAACTACGAATGTTCCACCACCTGGTAGTACATTAGAAATATTTGCTGAATCATCAAAATCATTTAGACCTGTACGTGCACGATTAGAATTAAATACAAGTGATCAATTACATGACAAACAACCAGATAAACCATTATGGGTAAGTTTTAATCAAGTTAAAATCAAAATAGAAATAAAAGAATAGTTTGAAAAATTTCTTTGTATTTTTTTTAAGTATTCTGGTTATCCACTTGCTTATGTTCAACATATTGTTATACGATGTTCATCATTAACATCTCGTAGATCATGTCTTTTACGTGCACGTGATATACGTGATCGTCTTTTTTCTGATCAACAATTTGATACAAATTGTTTACGTGTTGGTGAACCAATAAATGCCCAACAAATGATATCATATTTACCATCATTTGGTTGTCTTTTACTTTCACCATTAAATTTATGGTCAAATGATATATTAAATATAAAAAATAATGAACGTGAAATTCTTGAAACAATTTCATCATTATCAAAACGTTATATAGATATTATATTTGGTATTCCACAAGAATATTTTTCATCAAATAAACCATTCACATATGCTATAACATTATTATTAAATAATGCATCAAATGAATATCGACAAGATTTAAAAAAACGTTTATTTGCATTTGATGAACAACAACAAGATGATATTATACATATTTATTTTTCAAGAAAATCTCTTCTTTATTATTTACCATTAGTACTTATTTATATTGTTGTTTTTCTTTATATTTATTATTCAGTTAGTAAGTATTTAATTAAACTTAAAATATGAATGTTATTAAACTGAATGTAGATATTAAGGCAATATTTCATATATATATATATGTACTAGATAATTAATCAATTTTGTTCGATTTCTATTTATTGAATTAAAATGAAAATTTTATTTGTATTTGATAGATTTAGAGTATCGAATGATTGATTGTTGTAATTTAAAAATAGATATTTGGTTTTTAAAATATTTCGACCTTCACCTATGATGTTCAAGGATGTCTCTGTTTACTTTCTTATTGTTATGTTCTTCTTTATGACGTTTTTTTTTCGTTTATCTAATAATTAAACTTACTGAACTTAAGAAAAAAAAACTTCAAAGCATTACGGCAAATGTGTACATTAATTAATAATTCTATTCTTGAAAATATAAATCTAGGTGCATGTCATAGATTTTCTTAAGAAGAATTTTTACTTTTATTATTTCTCTTCTAATAGAATTATCATTTTTTATATTATTCAATAGAAGAGGAAAAAAAGTAACTCATTTTCTTTGACAATTATAATGATAATAATCTCCTTTTATTAAAAACAGTTAGTTAATCATGAAATCTTTCTATTTGAAAAATTCCGAACAAAGAAATCTATTTTGTAAAAAACAGGCAGTACGCAAACAAAAAAAAATAATTTAGAAAATGTAATTGTTCTTAATCGTGTATAATGTAAAATATTCATCTTTAGCACAAAAACAAAAAGAAAAATGAAGTCTTATAATACTTTATTAATGATTTTTTAAATAAGGTAACACTTACAATAAAAATAATATATTTAATTTAAGGTCAATTTGAATGTGTAAAATCTAAATGGGGTCTTGCATTAGCAGCAACAGTACAAATTGTTGTTTCATTATTAATATCATTAGCATTATCATCATTATTTCATATGACACCACGTCTTGATGGTGGTGAAGTATTTCCATATTTAGTTATATTTATTGGTTTAGAAAATTTAGTTGTATTAACACGTGCAGTTACATCATTACAAGCACAAAAACAATATGATGATATACGTGAACGTGTTGCACATGCACTTCGTGCTGAATCATGGACAATATCAAAACATTTAGTTTATGAATTAATTATTGTTATGATTGGTTTTATAACATATGTTCCAACTGTAAGAGAATTTTGTCAATTAGCATTAATTGGTATATTAATTGATTTTTTAATGCAAATTAATTTTTGGTTAGCAGTTTTAAGTATTGATATACGAAGATTTACTGTTGGTGTTGGTAAAAAAAAAAATCGAAATTTAGAACAAGAAAAAAAAGAAATTAAAGTATCATTACCAATAAGAATGCCTTATTTAATAAATAGACGACAACAACAACAACAACAATCTCAATGGGCACGTTATAGAGTTTTACAACGAGGAAGTATGTTTATTGTTCTTATTTGGTTTATTCTTATTTTTTATAAATCATGTTTAATTGTTGATTTACTTCATAAAAATGGTAAGAAAAATCATAAAATTTTTTTTTTTTGTTCTTATTTTTCTTTGATTTTTTTTAAAAGTACAAATAAATCGAGATCAAATTAAAGATTTTGTTCCAGAAAAAATGCTTAATGAACATTATGGTTCATCATTTAATAATCAACATGATTTAAATAATAATATCGAAGATCAAATAATAAATAATGTATCTTTACCAAATTATGAATGGCAAACATTATTATCATATGATCATTGGTCAACATTATTTTCTTTTTATAATATTTCATATGATAATCGTTATTTAACTATAATGCCATCAATTTATTTACCAATTATTTCTTCTGAAGATCAAAAATTAGATATGAAAACAAAAGCTTATTATAAAGTAAATATCTTATATTTTTTTTGTTTTGTTTTAAGAGAAAATAGAAATAATATTTTAATTTAATCGAAAAAATTTTCAGAAACTATTGATTTTTGTTTTACTGTATTTGTATTTACCAAGAACATCTTGATAAGACTAGCAAAAGTTTTAAAAGAATTCGTCGCATAGATCTTTAAAGTCTAATTAGGAATGTTTTAACCGGATTTTCGACTCAACTTTAAATATGCACAGAAAATTCAAAAAAAAAAACAGTATTTTAATCTGAAATTAAGCGTCAAAATAGATCAAATAACTATTAGAATATATTTGAAATTTCATGGGAAAAAAAAATTTTCTTAGTCGAGATATTGAAATTTTCAAAAACTAATGATTTGCTATAAAATTTGAGTTTATAATAGAACATTCAAGATATTCTACGAGTCATTTCCTTTTTTTTTCAATAAGTACCTAATATTGAATCAAAAATTAATAATAAAAGTCATCGGACTTCAAAGATCCCATGGCAATGAACTCTTTTCAACCTTTTCTTATTCATTAATGAAGATTAATGTTCGTTGAAACCACTTTCGCCGGAGATCTACAACTAATTCTGTTGATATTAGAAAAGTAGTTTAAAGTTCGATAAAAAAAATTTGCACTCAACAAGATCCAGTATAAGAGTATTGAAAAAATACGTCGATTATTTTCATAATCAGTTTAAATCTAAGTCGTCTTATACTCATTTATGATTGTGTAAAAGAAGTTTATAGTGAAATTAGAATAGACAGCTATCATATATATATATATAAAATAGATATTTTTATATTTGAGATTAGCTTAAGAATGAAACACATCCCAATGATAAAATGCATGACAACACAATATTAAAAGGAGAAAAACATTAGACAAAAAAAAAAAGAAAAACTTGATAGAAAGAGAAAGAATGAATAAATATATTTATATTTGTATGAAGACATGAGTCAGACTCGTATTTTGTTTTTGATCGGGCTCTAAGCACAAAAAAAAAATATTTTATTTCAGAGTCCAATATCAATTAAAATGAAATTGAGTTCTGAAATTAAGCTTCGTCAAAATTTTTATTAGTATAGAGCTTAAAATTATTTTCTATCGTCATCATCAAATTGAAGTATTTTATTTCTATACTCATAAGCATTTCGTTGTTAATATCGGTTTTTTTTCTTCAATTTTCAATTAAATATTAATTGTTTCAGTTGAAGCTCGAATTCCACTAAAAGATGTAGCATCAGTTCCAGTTTTTGATGAGCTCTTTGTAATATAACTCTCGCATAGAGTAGCATATCCTAACAATTTTTCATAAGAACTCGTGCGTGAGTGGAATTTTTATTGTATCATTTTACTATAAAATTGTAATTAACTATAGATAACGTGAAGGACAAAAAAAAACAATTGATATAAATCATCCTAAGCTCATCGAATATCACAACAAATTCTAAATAACTTACTTTCATTGATGTTTTTTTGATATTTATTTTGATTTACAAGTGTATAACAACATGAGTGTATAATCGAATAAATTTAATCAAAGTGAAAGAAAACTATGATGATTATGAGCTTAATTATCTTGTTATTGAAAGATCTTTAGATGAATTTTAAATTTAAATTACAATCTAGAATCAATTATTCTCCCCGCCATGCAATAGATGATCCCGGATCTTTTATTATGTCCCATATATTTTCCTCATCTTTAATCAAGAGGATTTTCTTTTTAAAAATCAACATGATATTGATCCTGTGAGAAATTATTTGCAGAATTTTTAAAGTCTAAAAATCATGCTAATTTAGTCTATTAAAATTTTTAGCTGAAAACTCGAAAAACTAAAATATATTTTCATGAAAAAATACTATTTGTAGGCATCACATCGACCATTACTTGATGTAACTCTACCAAGTACAACTAATTTATTGATTGATCGTCGATTTTCAACAGCTTTATGGGAACTTTTTTTTCTTGTTCTATTTGGTTTAACATTATTTAGTATTGTTTATTTTTGGTTTTTTTCATCATCATTAAATTTAAATCATAATCGAATATTATCTTGTATAAAAAGTGATTATTCAATTGTACCAACAATATTAATACCACCATCATCAACATTATTAATTGAATCAATGTGTATACATGAAAATGGTACAGTTGTTTGTGTAGCATATTCCGATGGTTCAATATGTATGTGGAATCCTCAAACAGGTGGTATTATTTTAACACAACAAAGATATTCAATAATATCAATTGAAAAATCTATCAATCATGTTTGGTGTTCATTAATGATTGATGAAAATCGATGTTTATTTGGTTGTTCAGATGGTCAAATAGAAATTTATCCAAATAATTCATTATCAAAAAATTTAATATTATATCATCATGATCTTGGTGGTATAACACATCTTATACGAGCATCATCAACAATTATTATAAGTACAACACGTCGTGGTTATTTAATTGCATTTGAATATATAAATGGTTTAATAAAACAAATTTATATAAAAAGATTACATCAATGGCCAATACGTGTTTGTCGTATTGATTATAATTCTTCACTTATATTTACTGGTAGTGATGATCATTCAATTAAAGTAACAAATATTTCAAATGGTTTATGTTTACATACTTTACAAAAACATCAATCACCTATTAATTGTCTTGCTCTTGATCCAGTAAGTAGAAACAAAACAAAAAAAAAAAACAAATGTAGTAGAATTATAAACTTTTAGAATTTATGTCGATTTCATTAATCTTTCTAAGATTTAAGAAAAATTTAATGAGGCTAATAAATTTTTTTGCGTTGAGTTTATTATTCTTTTGGATTTTAGTTTACAAATATTAAAATAATTTCAATTGAATAAACTTTCGATAGATTTTTCTCTACATTTCAATGATGAAGTAATATCGATTTTTTTTTACAGATTTCATAATACATTTGTTTTTTTTGTTTGGTTATTTATATGTAATTAACAATAGTTTTTTAAAATTCAATAGGATTAGTAATTCTCTTACATAGAATAAATGATTGTTTTTTTTTTTTGTGAAATCAAAATGACTAATACATTACGCAAGAAATTTTTCTTTCATCTCGTATCATTTTTCTTTTATTAATGGACTATATCAATGAATTATATATCATTTAAAGAAATCTTGATGCTCTCAATGATAGACTTCTCGATATATAATTCTAGTAGAAATACAAAAAAAAGAAAGTCTACCATCATATATTCTATTTTCACGAATTCAGATTTTAGACAATTTTCATAAAAATAATATATTTTAACAATCTTTATAAAATAGTTTATATATGAAATCAAGATCTTGAACTAATTTTTTTAACATCTATCCTAAGAAGGAAAAATAACAAAAACTTCCGTTTTTTTTATTCTTGTCTGTAATATTATATACATAAGTATTGATTATTTTGCTTTGAAATAATTTTAGTATCATCCAACAACATTAGTAAGTGGTTGTTTTAATGGAACATTATGTGTTTGGAAAGGAAATGATCTTATTCAAACAAATATCAATGCACATCCATTATCAATAATAATTGATTTAAATTTTTGTGGTCATTCATCAAATATAATAAGTCTTGGTACAGATAAACGTTTATGTATATGGACATATTCAAATTTACAACTTCTTTATGAATTAAATGATATAACATCAAATTGTTTTATAATATATCGTATAAATTATTTATTTTATACAAAATTAAATTCACTTTATATATATGATACATTTAATCAAACAAAAATATCAACAAAACAATTTTTAATTCCATTTTTAAATAATATTAATCAAGATGAAAATGAAATGATTATTGAAAAATTTATTTATTCATCACAAACAGAAACATTAATATTACAAAATTCGGATGTTATCTATGCAATGCACTTACCACAACGTTTTTTTCTTGACCGGTGATTGATTGATTAGATTGTGTTCTTTTTTTTTGTGCTTTGTTTTGTGATATTTATTTTATTTTTTTTTTAGTTTTTATTCTTAACTGAACAGATGTGTATAAAACAAAAAGACAAACGTCCTTTGAAATATAAATATAAATATATATATATATGTAGATGAAAAAAAAAAGAATTTTTCTTTTTTGTGTTGTCATTTCCGTTTCTTCTTTTTTTTTTGTATAAAAGTTTTGATAAATTATCTTATGAATATCTGACGATTGTTATGATAATTTTCTAGATTGCATATAACCGATACGTACGTGTTGTTGTTGTTGTTAGTTTCTGGCATTTCGTTGGCTTGGTAATGCAACGATTAGAAATATATTCTATTTGCATTTCATTGTCCGTGTTAATTCAATTTTCTTAGTATATTGGAAAGAAGACACGGTCATGACGATGGCAACTATCAAAGGTAGACATTGTATTTATAGATTTTTTTTCTTCTCGACATTTTCTTATTCGATGATTTGGTCTTTCTATGTTTGTCGTTCGTCATTCATCCACTTTTTTCCTCCATTACAACAGCAGTTGTGCTTATCGGCATAGTTGTCTTTCTCTCTTTGTATGTGTTTTTAGACTAGTTTGCATGCTGCTACTCTTATGTTGATGTGATGATTGTTTCCCTCCCTCACGTTCTCTCTCATTTCGCGTTGTGTTCTGCCTTGTCACGACAGGCACACATACATCCATCATATGATCCTACATTTTTTTTTTCTTTCTTTTTCTTCTCTCTCTCCCATATGATCTTCTCTTTACTGGCGCACCATTCCCGTTTTTTTTTATCGACAGCAATAATGATGTTGTTGTTGATGATGATGATAGCCTTGTGTGCATATTTATATATATATATATATATATACATATATATGTATAAATATATTCGTTTATATATTTTTTTATAGTTTGTCGTCATTGGTATGACTAATCCCGAGTCTCATTATCCATTCGTTCATTGGCCAGCAAATTCAGCTTCTAATTTGACTGGCATCTATAATAAAAATCAAGACGATTGTCAGATATTTCATCCACCAACAACACCCAATCTTCTGACTTATTTTCAATCAAGAGATCAAGCAATCACTCCTCATTTAATGTATGTAATGTGTTTGTCTATATCTTTTATATACTTAGCTTTCATGACGAATATAGAACATGATAAAGCAAAAATGTATTTTAAGTGCATTTATGTGTCTATCTTAAATCATTTTTATTGGCTTATCGGAAAATAGAACAAAAAACAAACGATAAAAGTAAAAACATAAATTTAAAACATGAATTTTCGTCATCTTTGAAGTATTATTTTTATGTAAAGTTTATTATTACTCATACTTGAGAAAAAAATTAAACATAAATATGACGGTTTTTTTTTTCTATTATCAATTTTAAATAATTTGTTTTGCTTATAACAAAAATGAGATAAATCAAAAAAAAAACAAAAAAAGATAAGAATTAATTTATTGATAATAATTAATATTTTCTTACAAAAAAAATCTAAAAGAATATTTGTTAATTAATTGTTTATTTATTTTCTTTTTTTTGTTTTTTCATTCATAAAGAGATAATCATTTGAAATCATCAAATGTTGCTGTAACTGGTATATCATCATCATCATCGTGTTCATCATATCCGAAACAAATATCATCTTCATCTCCAATTCCATTTCAACCATATCTTATAACTCCATATCATACACAAAATACACCACCTTATTCATCATCAATGTCGAATTCAACAAATACAACTCAAATATCAACATCTCGTAAACGTAAACAACCAATGAATGATACATCATCATTTCTTACACCTTCAATACCAGCTAAACGATCAACTCCTTTAGCAATGTTTTTTCAAAAAGTAACACCATTGGACGGTTCAGTTATGATGTTTGTTAACAATAGTAAAATAACTCAAACTGAACCTTCATTCTCAATGTTTACATCTAGTCATCATCATCTTGATATTGAACAACAAAAATTAACAGTTGAAATTGAAGAATTACGTCGTACAAAATCTGATACACAACGTCAATATGAATCAACTGTTGAAACAATAAAACGTTGTCTTGTTATGACACGTTCATTATTAATTGAAAAATCTCAATTAGAAAAAAAAGAAGCACGAGAAAAATCAATGGAAAATCGTTTACGTCTTGGTCAATTTGTTACACAAAGACAAGGTACATCATTTGTTGAACAATGGGTTGATGGTTATGATTTTTTGGATAAACAACGTTCACAAGAACAATTAGCACGTGCTAAAGAAAATCTTGATCGTGAACGAAAAACTTTAACTAAAAAGAAAACATTTTTACAACAACAACATCAACAACAATTAATGATGACAACTATAGCAGATGAAACAATGATTATGAATAATAGTTCGAATTATCAAGATTTTAATAATCCGGTGTTTGTACCACCAACGAAATCTAAACGAACAAATAGACCTTCAACTCTCAAAACGTCCACTAGGTAAATATTGATTGTTTCAATTTTTTTTTAAAGTAAATTATATTAAATCAAAGAAATTATTAGAAAAAAACCAATTATCTATGATTTTTGAATAATTAAAAAAGAAATTAAAACATTATTTTTGTTTCTTTTTTTTCTATTTATCTGGAGTTTACTCATTTCAATAGAATAAATATATTGATGAATCTTTAATAGATTTACTTAAGGAAAAGCAAAAAAACGAAACAATTTTTTTATTTTTTAGTCAACAAAAACTTCAACCAATATCATCGCCATCACTCATTGTAACATTTAATAATAATAACAATAATAATAATAATAATAATAATAATAATAATAATCCATTAATGGGTTCATCATCATTTATTGGACATCAACAAATTCAAGCACTTTCTGATAATTCAAATGATGGTCATTATTTATATTCTAGTGATAATAATCCACCTATTGATAGTGGAAATTCATCATCATCATCATCATCTCTTATTTCAAATTTTTCATCATCTATTATGACATTACAAGATTGGTATGAATATGATGAAGTACTTCGTCTTCGACAATTAACACTTAAACGTGAAGAATGTGATTTAGCACAAGATTTAGAAAAACTTGATCGTGAACGAAATGTTCATATAAGAGAATTAAAACGTTTATATAATGAAGATCATTCAAGATTTAATAAAAATAATATACTTAATGAAAGATATTTATTATTAACATTGATTGGTAAAGGTGGTTTTAGTGAAGTACATCGTGCATTTGATTTACGTGAACAACGTTATGTTGCATGTAAAATTCATCAATTAAATAAAGAATGGAAAGATGAAAAAAAAGTTAATTATATTAAACATGCTGTTAGAGAATATAATATACATAAACATTTAGAACATAAACGTATGTTTTTTTATTAATTCATATATACAATGAATACAAAAATTATTCAATTAGGTTTATTTTTTTTTTCTGTTATCATAAGCGTTAGAAAGAATCTAAATAGTGATTCAAGAAATACTTTTTTTTTTTCAATAATAATAATAATAGAAAAATAGTAAAAATTATTATTAGATTTTCAAAGAGAAAGACTTCAGAAAAAAAAAACAAAACTCTTGTTTTTCAACACCTAAGACACATAAATATTATTTTGTTTAGACTATATAGAACGATAGAGAAAACTAAACTCTACAAAATAACACGTCTTTGCGTATTCTGTAATATTATTTAGCTAAGATATAGCAATTTTACAAACGCATCTAAGTTGTTATTTTTACTATTTTCTATAGAAAAACCGTTTTTTGACCTTCAATCAAATTACTGTATGTTATCCAAAAAGAAAAACCCATTGCAGAGAACTCGGAGACATCTATTTTGTAGAGAATGTTTTCATCTATTGTTCTACATAGTCGAAATAAAATTATACTGATGCATTTTAGAAGTTGAAAAACTAGAATTTTGATTTTCTGGAGTCGTTATCTGTCAAAATCTGATAGTCATTTTTATTTTCTACTCGAATTACAATTTAGAAATTTTCTAATACTTATGAATAGAAGAAAAAAATAAACCTTATTGAATAAAATATTGTTATCTATTGTATGTATATATAACTATATAAGAAAAAAAAAATATTTATTTAGGTATTGTTAAATTATTTGATGTATTTGAAATCGATACAAATTCATTTTGTACAGTTTTGGAATATTGTAATGGAAATGATTTAGATTTTTTTCTTAAACAAAATAAAACAATTCCAGAAAAAGAAGCACGTTCAATCATAATGCAAACACTCAATGCATTGAAATATCTTAATTCAGAAATCAAACCACCTGTGGTCTGTTTTATTTAATTATTATATACAAAAAAATAATAAATAAATAAATAAATGAAAATAATTCTTTTCTTTTTTTGCTATCTTAGATTCATTATGATTTAAAACCAGGTAATGTTCTTTTGGGAAGAGGAAATAATAGTGGTGAAATCAAAATAACTGATTTTGGTTTATCTAAACAAATGCATGAAGATACATTTGATGCTGATGATGGAATGGATCTTACATCTCAAGGTAAATAAATATTTAATTGTTAATAAGTTTAATTATTAATATTTATTTTTCCTAGGTGCTGGTACTTATTGGTATCTACCACCAGAAGTATTTGTTCAAGGTCCTAATCCTCCTAAGATTTCATCCAAAGTTGATGTTTGGAGTGTTGGCTGTGAGTTTAACTAATTGATTTCGTATATAATCAATGAAATTCTTTGTTTTTTGTTTTCTTCATTAGGTATTTTTTATCAATGTTTATATGGTCGAAAACCATATGGTCATAATTTATCTCAAGCAGCTATATTAGAAAATCAAACAATTTTAAATGCTAAAGAAATTCAGTTTCCTAATCGACCACAAGTATCTAATGAAGCCAAATCATTTATTCGTCGATGTTTAACTTATCAAGCACGAGATCGTCCCGATGTTTTGCAATTAAGTGAAGATGAATATTTAAAATCTTATCCAAAACGTACAACAGCCACAACTTCTTCGCCTCTTTTTTGTCCTAAATAACTATGTAAATTATAATATTTGTTTCTCTACTTCTACTAGTAAACCAACAGTAAATGACGGCCTGTTCTTCTTTCACTCTCTCGTGAAATAAAAAAAAAACCAATTTGTGCATGAGAATAAAGAAAAAAAAAATGGAACAAAAAATACAAAACTATAGACACACATTTAGTGATAAAAGCGTTACTCTGCTTATGATGAAATCAATGAAGAACAAAAAAAAAATGACACACTTTCTATCCGTACACGAAGTAGATACTAAAAATATATAGAACAAAAAAAGTGCAACATAAAGTGTAATTTTTGTTTAATTTGAAAATTTGAATGGTATCGGTAAACATTCGGTTGTGATTGAATGAAAATATTATAGTCTTTTTTTAATCTTTAATTTAATTATGAATTTGTTCTTTGCAAGTTGTATAAAAAAAAAACAGATAAAAACAAATCAATAATACACAACAAATGAAATATTCTCAGAGATATGTTTTAATTGATCATTCATTAATGTTGATATTCAGTCTGTCATGAAAGTTCATATAACAGGATTTTAAAAAAGAAACGAAGTTGATATATATTGGAAGTACAATTAATGAAATTCTAGTTTTGATCAGACAAAATTAGAAATAAAATATGAATGAGGATTTCTTCGAGCAGAATTTGAAATCTGATTTTGCCTAAACAATATTAAAAGTTGTCTAGAGATAAGTTTATAAAATCCGAATAAATAAAATGTTAATAGGATAACTATTTTTATTTTTGTAAACACGTCTCAAGTCAAAATACTTCAGTCTATTTAATCATATTTGTATAATCACCTCATCTAGAATGAAGTTTATCGAACAAAAAACTCCTATATTTTACATGAACATTGTTTTGTAACATATTTATTTTTTACAATCGCATGTGTTACTAATTGTTAGAACCGATTCAAGCATTCTTTGATTAGACTGTAACATGTACAGCTGTATTTATACTGCTTTATTGACACGACTGATATAACTCAGATGGTCTGTTTCTTGTCATTTCATTCGACTTTTAGTAAAATATGTGATTATGGATTTTTCTCTTTGTGAAATCTTGATTTTATTCGGGCGAAATCGGAATTCTAATTCTGTCTGGTCAAAACTAATATTTCAAATTTGCCCCTAACACATACACATAGGTCGTACAAGTACGAATAGTAATACGATCAGTGTCTTACTGTTTTTTATCTTCCCAAAATATCATATTTGCCATCTTTCTACCAGGCGATAGCAATCGATCTGATTGATTGCTGTTTCACTGCTTTAAAATATCTTTCTGGATTTGATCTTTCACTTGTTTCTGAAGTTTTTTTGAATATTTGATGCACTCTAGCTTATCTGTTTCATCAATATATAGATCAAGATCACAAATCGATTTTATAACCTTTTCAAATAGTAGAAACTCTATTACAAGAATTTTCAAGCGACATATAATATGAGATATTTCATGAAAAATTATCCCCAACAGAGTAGGCTAGTATTATGTTATTTCTTCATCATCTAATGTAAAAATTCTATTTTTAACTAGAACCAAAGAAAATATTTACTTCCTGTTTGCTATCTTGTCTCAACAAATGTTAAAATTTTCCATATGTAATTTTAGTCAACAGTATTTACATATTTAGCTCTCTCTGATATATTGTTTTCTACAATTTTTTTTATGTGATCGAAATGCATGAATATTCTGAATGTTTTTCTAACACTGAACGAATACAACAGAAACATTACTAAGATTTTGATTTAATATCATATCATGAATGTTGTTAAATAAACGATACATTGTTTTATGAAGTATAATTTGATCATTCAATCTTTAGCAAATACAACACTTGCTGATAAACAATAATATATTCATTGTTATATTTGAAGAGGATAAGTTATTTTAACTAAACTACGTTGATGTAGTTTTAACTGAGTTCATTTTTGAATCATATCAATCAAGCTATTTTTTGTTACATCCATCAAATCTTCAGATGATTGTTGTATTTGTGAAAGTGCATTTTCACTTAGTTCAAATGGAAATTGTTTTTAATATTATTTTGTAATCATAAATATATTGATAATCATCAACATATAGAATCGATAAATAACTAAAGATAAAAAAATTAAGATTTACACTCATTAAAATGAAAAATAATCTCTACTCGATTTAATTTTAGAACAATCTATCTTGAAAGACAGATAATGTTAAAGTAAATGATTATAATCTTACAGATCAAAATTTTCTACAAATTAGCCTGTTTAAAAACACGCTTTGTTAATGCTGTTCATATACGATCAGCAGTTTGAATAACTTCATATCTACTTGTTGGTTGATGTTTTCTAAAATAAAAATATTATTTATTAAATTTATATAAACTTAACATGTGTAGCTGCTTTATGAACATTAATAATAAATCGATCCATAAATTTTCCTTGATGAAATAGTTCAATAAGTTTTCTAAGGGTCAATTTATAGTATTCTCTTAGATATTTTGTTTCAAACCCTAAAATAATTGCAGAAAACCTTTTAGCAAGAAATTTCAATACATTACGAATTTTTTAATCATCAAAATTTAATTGTGATATTTGGTCTTATCCATTTTCAGATTGATCAATATTTAAATGTTCAAGTCAATCAGATTCTTCATTTGACTGATCATACTCAGAATAACCAGATATATGAAGTATTCATTGTTATTGTGTTGAAGATAATGACTGTAATGTTAATGAAAGACTAGATTCAATTGTATCATATTTTCTCATTTCAAATTTCATTGGATTCAGGTACACAGTCTTTTATATAATGTGCTAAAAAAGACAAACTTAGTCTTACATGAATTCAAATCAAATGAGTTTTTTTTACACCGATCAATAATAATGATTAAATTATTAGTTGATATTTGCATTGAATTTCGTACACATGAGTCAATAAAATAATTATATAGACAAAGTATAATTTGTTTATCATTTATCAATAAACGACTTGTATAATATGGACAAACAATATATGTTGTTTGGTAATATTCCGTAAACTGTTCAATATCAAAGACACGTGGTAATTGTTTTAAACCTGATGATCGAAGGAAATTATTTGCTGTTTCACTTCTGCATCGTTCATAATAACCACATTTGCTTTTACAATCTTTTTTGTCCGAATTTTTGTTCATTTATTAATGTGACAAAGCAGAACACGATAGTTCCTTTGTTGTTAATTAAACCGACGAACGATGATTTTTTTCACGAATATCGCGTTACAACTTACTGACGTTTCATTCGAAATATTATCTCTCAAATTGACAAAACTTAATAGCTGATAAGATGATTAAGATCAAATCATCGACATATCACTTTTCAACAATCGTAGTTTTTCTAATAACGTCACAGCACGTAAGAAACACCTGATTGATTTCTATTTGACTAAATTTTTTTTGTCATTGATAGAGCTACAAATAGACTGATTTCAAGGAACTTAATGAACTTGATTCACTGTTTTCTAAAACGATAGCATAGAAATGACGAATGATCAATGACAGATTGTATTTGTTGAAAGACTATTTCTATAATTTATAAAATGTAACATTTCATTTTGTTCATATTTCGTAACATAGACGATGTACCTTTCACGATCGATTGTCTCAAGTAGACATTAAATTTCTGTCTCAAGAATTGTTCGAGTGATTCTTCGATTACTCTTGTCGTCATTGCATGAAGAACATGATGCGACTATTGTACATAAGAAGCTTTATCATTGAAAAAGTCATTATTTTTACACAAACAATAAAGTATTTTTCGTGAAAATCGTTTTTATCATTGCAACATTGTCTCGTCATATTTATGTTTCGAGAACAAGAAAGAGAAAGAATCAAATATGAACAAATTAATTGACACACTATTGGTCATGAAGTACGCATTTGTTAATTTATGCTTGATAAAGTCGTATTAAGGCTGAAAAATCAGGGTTTTATTTCTGATCATTACGAGTTATTTATGTTTATCCACAAAACTACGTTGGAAAACATAGAAGCAAACCTAAGAATACATTATGTCTGCATCAATAATCTATGTTCACAATATCTATCGTCCGTTGTGATTATTGCAAAAAAAACAACAGCAAAAAAAACAGAACGACAGGTTGATGACAACGGTAAAGAATATAAACAGAAACAGAAACTGATGAGAAAGACGCACGTACATATAGAAATAGTTGTTGTTCATTAATCAAACTCACAACAATAACGATAAATGAGCCCGAACGCTAACAATATTAGTAATAATAATAATAATAATAGTAGTAGTAATCATTGAAGAAAGGTGTTTCTTTGTTTTTAACACAAAAATATCGTACATATAAGAAGAAAGAAGTAGGAAAATGCAAAAACAAATAATTTATAATGAAAATAAAAGCAAGCGAGACTCTAATCATTAATAGTTATGGTACCCGATCGTTTGACTTTCTTATTGGCTGACGCTAATGGATGATGAATTGGTGATGTTAATGGACGTTTCTCACTATTAGTATTAGTGGAAGGAAGAATATCTGTAGCAATGGAAGACAACGATGAAGCCGATGACAACGACGATGAAGAAGAAGAAAATGATAAAGAAGGTACAAGTAATAAAGGTGGAGGTGGAGCAGGAGATGCAAATTCATGATGATTACCATTAGTAGCAGCTGTTGTTCGTGATCGTAATGTCATTCCATATCTCTTTGGTGGTACTGTTGTTGTCGTCAATGGATATTGATCGATTAATTGTGAAAGTCTTTCTTCACTAAAATCAAATGAAGGCAAAGATAATATATCATTCGTTGGTGGACATGGAGCATGACGACAACGACAAACACCATTACCACATAAACGGCGAGTATGTGGTAATGTAGACGAAGAAATGTTATTAGTAGGTACAACGGCTGTAGTCGATGTCGTTGTCGAACTTGATGTTGATGAACATGAATCGGTCGATTTTTTTGCATGACGACGTTGTGCTAGAAGTCCATCAGTAACAGAAGATAATTGAAATTGACCAGCTTTTTGAAATGCACGCATTGTTACATTAACAGCACGAACCTTGATATAAAAATGAATTATTATTAATTTAGAAGTTTTTTTTTTTTCTAAATTTCATACAATGAGAGATCGAGATGCTTGACAAAGTATACTGGGTGTCATTAAATGATCCTGTGTTATTGGAATACTTGAACCTCGAAGCCAAGCATTCCTCGACAAATCTTTAATTGTTAAACGTTTTGATGGTTCGACTGTCAATAAACCTAACCGATAAAAACAATATAATGAAATAAATATATTGTCAACAAAACTATGATTATTAACTGAGTTATAATAAAAACATACCTTTAACAAGATCTTTAGCTGCTTGTGAAACATTTTTCCATGCTGGTGTATCATATGATAATTGAGAACGTGCTATATCTTCAACAATATCTTCAGCTGTTCGATGAGATGTTATTGAATTAAATGGAACTTCACCACTTAACATTGTATATAAAATAACACCCAGAGACCATAAATCACATGACTCATCATAACCATATGTAATTGCACTTGTATTTATTGTTATGGAAGGTACAAAAGCTACAGTTGTACTTGATGATGATGAGGATGAGGATGATGTAGAAAGAGAAGATAATTGAGAACAATTAAATGATGTTGCAGTACGTAATACTTCTGGTGCTGTATATCTGTATAAAACAATTTTAAAAATATTACTCAAAGAAGTTTTCTATTATCTTACAAGAGTGTACCACATGGTGTTGTCATTGTTTGATGTTTAATACGTTTTTTAGCAAAACCAAAATCAATTATTTTTATTTCAGCATCGGGAGCAGATGATGAGAACAGTAGATTCTATAAAAGATGAATATCTATTTTAAAAAAATCAAATTAAACTAAGATTATCCTACTTCTGGTTTAAGATCTCGATGACATAAATCATTACTATGCATAAAATTGACAGCTGATACAAGTTTTTTCATTAATTGACTTGCTTCTTTTTCAGAAAATGATGTTTGTGTACGAATTCGATAGAAAAGTTCACCACCCGTTAATAATTCCATTATAATATATGTATGCAACTTGATAAAAAAAAACAGACAAAGATAGTATGCATTTATACAGGAGTTATTTTCAAGGCACTTCGTCACCATATCTTCCTGCATCGTTACTTAGACATTAACATATTTGTCAATCAGAGTAAAGATTTGTGGTTACCATGACATATAGACAAAAAAAAATTCATTACTTTGGAGCACACGAATTGACTTATTTCAAATAAAATATAATCAAAGAGACATTTTCTCAAAGTGTGTCCAATGATGTGTATGAAACTACTTAAAACAGCACTTAAATTATACACTACAGTAAAACTTTCCTATAGGGAGGTAAAGTATTTTTCTAAAAGAAAATTTTTCAAAGAAAAGCACACGTTTCTTGAACATGTGAAAAATGGTACTGAATAAAATAGCCAACAGAAGCAACTTACTACCTGTCTTTTCATGTATTTTAGTATTTTTAAAAATCAACAATTTTTCAAGTAATCATTGACAGATCGCTGTTCTACGACTTTCGAGTTCAGATAAATGTTAGTTGATTGCAATTTGAGATAGGAAATGAAACATACGCAACTGAGGCTATTGAATGAACACAAAAAGATAAAGCTATCTCATCATTTTAAATACTTCATACAAAATTAACGTATCTTTCACCATAGACATTTCGTCCATACTCTTTCCTATCTGCTTCAACTAGTTCCCTCAGATGCTCATTAATATCAAACTGGCTTGTTGACAGTCCTCAAATTAAACTATTTTCTCCGAACTCCTAAGTAATGTTCATTACGGAGAGAATCGATTCATACATAAAATAGTAAGTTCCTATTTATAGGAAATTCAAACGATATTACTATGAAACAAAAATTGTCTGGCAATTCAAATCGATACTTTAGAACAAACACATAGGGGATTGATTTTAACATAAAAAGAAAATAGAAATAATGTGTATAATTTTGGATTACGTTGAATTGGATTGGGGTGAAGAAACTCATTTCCATCTCATATGTATTTCTAATAAAACGTAACTATCCTGACATAATTCAAGCCTTAAACAGCGTACAATGTCTATACTCTTTCATAGTGAAGTGTATCTCTTAATCTATCCAATGCTAAATTAGGGATTGTATATCTTCAGTACGATACCTAAATATGAGTTTTATTTAAGCATTATCGATATTTAATCTAGATGCCTGCAGTGATATTGCTTAGCTTGAATCATTCATTATGCAGAGTAGTCCAAAAGTAATCAGACTATCTTCTCTAACGAATAAGTTTTGATAGAAACATGATAGAGAGTTACAGCTTTCACCACTGGAAAGGGACTATGTCATTGCATGGTTCAATGTAGGATGCAATAAAGTCGGTTGTTGACCAAGGTGTCAAATGTGCTAGATAAGTGTGCTCATGATCAAAAGTTATTCGTAAGCAAAAGCTCTTGAATAAATTTTGGACCATCCTGTATAATGATGTGGAGAAACTTGAATTTTCTGAACATTCGAATTTATCATGCCTTGAATCCAAGCAAGCATTATTTCGTAAGACCATAAAAAGTGTCCACTGTGGGAAGATTAATTAATCGTATGTCCACTGTACAATGGACTGAGATGATTTTTCTATTCAATACTTTTGAAAAAAAATATCATTTTAACATAACTAACCTCATCAGAATAAACTTCATGTAATTTAACAATATTAGCATGACCTTGACATAGATGTAAAAGTTCAATTTCATTTTGTGCATCAACTTTTTGTCTATGTGAAACTATTTTTACAGCAAATTCTTCTTGTGTTCGACGATTTCGACAACGTCTAAAATGTTTCAAATCGAAGAATAAACAGAATTAGCACAAAATCAATTTAACTAACCGACAAATTGAATAACTGCCTTCACCAAGAAAACCTTCACGATCGATAAGTTCATAATTTCGAAAAAACGAACTTGTCTAAATTATAAAACGTAACGTAAAAATAAATGTCACGAACAAAAACAAAAAAAGACATAAAAGAAACAAACTTTAATCAATCGATGCAATTGTGATGGATCAGGTCGTTGATAATTTGTAAGACGAAGTAGATTATATAAATCTTCATTTACTGCAT